CACCCAGGTGGCCCTCCCCCCTCACCCAGGTGGCCCTCCCCCCTCACCCAGGTGGCCTTCTATCTTGGTCTTCCAGTCGTCGACGCGCTCCCGCACCAGAGCCTTCATGGGCGCGATGTAGACCACCTGCAGCACGACAACCTCATTAATGAGACCTGCTAATTAATGAGACGCGCTGCTTAAGGTCTGGTCAACTTTAGTGGATTTTGGCTTTTCCGGTTTTTAGTCTCATCTTAAGGCTGACATTCTGCTCTATTCAACGGTACCAAAACCATCTCTGTACGTTGATTTATGCGTTCACGACAGATTCCGCAAGGTAGGGGGTAGGGGAGTTCTTTAACAAATTAAATAAGGGAAATTGGCTGCAGTGCACATAAATAGGGTGTCTGCTAGAGCTGAGCTCCAGTAACCCGACTGGCGTCGTGTGGGGTGCTGTGCAAGCAGTCGCTCCCACCATCCTTGACGTGAATCAAGCTCCAGTAACGCTTAGTTTTGTGTCCTTGCTGCATTGAGTGGCTATCTCGATGCGCGCGGGACTTTGTCGCGCTGTCCTGAAAAGTTAACTTATTGTCACGGCAAACCTATCTACTCCTAGAGCTTTGAAGCTAAGCGATGGGAGATATACCATTTGATTCGCAATTTTAATATCTATCGATGCACTTTTCGAATTTCGCTATAGTTTTGAAAATATGTTGAAAAAAGGGGGGAGGGAAATAGGGAAAATGGAAAAATTTTCGAAAATTTTGGGAAAAATGCTCCCACATCCACAAAAATTCGAAATTCAAAAAAGCTACGTTGCATCGATAGATAATTTAATTGCGAATCGAATGGATGTCTCATCGCTGCAACTTCAAAACTCTAGGAGATAGATTTCTACACTACCACCTTTTTAGGCCGTTTTCTAAGAATTTCACGTTTTCTTTAATTTTTTTTTTTCGAAAAATTGGCATGAATAAAAGCTGTCTATTTTTCGGTTTTACATAGGTGTACCAAGTTTCAAAGCGATCCATCTTTAAATAGCCGAGATAAAATTTTGGCCAGACACTCCCCTTAATGAGACGCGCTGCTTAATGAGACGCGCTGCTTAATGAGACGCGCTGCATAATGAGACGCGCTGCATAATGAGACGCGCTGCTTAATGAGACGCGCTGCTTAATGAGACGCGCTGCTTAATGAGACGCGCTGCTTAATGAGACGCGCTGCATAATGAGACGCGCTCATTAGTGTTATTGAAATTCGACTAATGACGGTGAACGGAACAGGATAACCGGTGCTGGGGGGAGTGCCCAGGGTAAACTGAAGGCAGTCTTGTTAACGCCAAGACCAAATTAAAAACGAAAATATATTTTTGACAAGTTGACGGCAGTTCTAATAAGCTGAAGGGAGTCTTAATAAGCTGAAGGCAGTCTTAATAATCTGAAGGCAGTCTTAATAAGCTGAAGGCAGTCCTAATAAGCTGAAGGCAGTCCTAATAAGCTGAAGGCAATCCTAATAAGCTGAAGGCAGTCCTAATAAGCGGAAGGCAGTCTTAATAAGGTGAAGGCAGTCCTAATAAGGTGAAGGCAGTCCTAATAAGGTGAAGGCAGTCCTAATAAGCTGAAGGCAGTCCTAATAAGCGGAAGGCAGTCCAAATAAGCTGAAGGCAGTCCTAATAAGCTGAAGGCAGTCCTAATAAGCGGAAGGCAGTCCTAATAAGGTGAAGGCAGTCCTAATAGTCTGAAGGCACCTTGCAGTCGGGCTGCTCCCGTAAGACCCTGAAGATGGCGATCTCAGCAGCGATGGTCTTGCCAGACCCCGTGGGCGCCCCCAGCAGCACGTTGTGGTCCGTGTGGTACAGCGTGTGGAACAGCTGCGTCTGGATGGGGTTGAAGTGTGTGAAGGGGAACAGCACTTCGAGCTCGGCGTTCTGAAGGGCGGTTACTGGCAGAGGGTGAAGGTCCAGCAGCGCTGTAATGCAATATTAAAACTGAAATAGTATATAATATTAATGCTATAACATAACCTATTATTATAGTAAAGCTATAATATAATATTATATAATAGTAATGCTATAACATAACCTATTATTATAGTAACGTGAAGGGCGGTTACTGGCAGAGGGTGAAGGTCCATCAGCGCTGTAGTGCAATATACAAAGTAAAATGTTATATTATATTAATGCTATAACATAACACTTCATTATAGTAACGATATAACATAATATTATATAATAGTAATGCTATAATATAATATTATATTGTAGTAATGTTGTAATATAATACTATACTATAGTAACGCTAATATAATGAACAATTAAGTTATTAACTTTTAAGGTCACAATTTCTGAACAAAATCTCCCAGGATCTTGCGGGAAAACCCCCGGGGATCTTGGGGGGAAAACCCCCCGGGGTCTTGGGGGGAAAACCCCCCGAGGTCTTGGGGGAAAACCGCCCGTGATCTTGGGGGAAACCCCCCGTAAGATAACACCAAGTGGGGGCAAAATGCTTCCACCGTATCTCAATATCACTGTTGGGGACACGTGTGTGTCACCAGGCGCTGGAAGTCGATAAGTGTGTCACCCTGACCCACCTGTGTGTGGGGGATGCAGGTCAGGCAGCACGAGGCGCTGGAAGTCAATAACGGCGCAGGTCTCGCAGCCCAGCCAGCGGTCGCTCACGGCGCGTACGATGTATTGTGATGGCAGCGGCTCCACTATAGGGATGGTGAAGACCAGCTCCTGCTGCGCCTCCAGCATCACCTGTATAATGATGTAGTGTTAAGTGATGATGATGAAGTGCTCGTGGGGAGCTGTGGTGGTGCAGTGGTGAGAGACTCTGTCTCTCGCACCCAGCTCCCGGGTTCTCTGTCTCTCGCACCCAGCTCCCGGGTTCTCTGTCTCTCGCACCCAGCTCC